CTATAAATGTTTAGACACATTTTAAGTCACACAATGTGCAAAAAATAGTGTATCAGCAGGGTTGTGCCGAGCTGCAGTGTAGTTACACATTCTGATTAACAAATGTTGGTTTTGTACAAGTGAAAATAAATGACTTAGAGCTGCATGTTTACACACAATTTTGCTTTAATCTCATATGTATAACACCACAGTGCTCATGGGAGCCTGGACACAGAACTGATCACAGATCATATTTACAAAAAATATACACAGTGTACAGTAATATTGTTTTTTGCAGAGATGCTCGGGAAAATTGAATACAGAAGGAGTCACTCCGTCCCTTAAACGGACAGTCTGCCCAGTCCTGTCGAAGTTCTCAGGTCTGAAGTGACAGCTGCAGATGACTGAGGAGTCACTCTGGACAAAGTCCTTTCTTTTCACTGCTGCTACCCATGCCCGTCTTCTATCTGTGTTTTTTGGGAAACTACACGCAAAATAAGTGTGTCAGAAAAACGCAGTTCCACATAATTTGTAGTTAGGCTACAATTCAGTCCACAAGTTAACTACTAACGTTATACTGCGTTATGTCACGTTGGTGCCATGAAACAGATAGTTGACAATTTGGAATAACACATACAGTGACATAGCTGTTTGACAAAGCATCATAATTTTATAAGTAATATTATATAAATGTTAACCTTTTATCTTTAAGTTGTGTGACATAGCATTAGCTTAATTTGGCATTAGGACCAGATTAGGACAGTTACTTTACTTGATCAGCTTAAAAGAAGGATCACTTTTTGATCTCATTAAACATTTTCGTAACAATATTGTAAAACAACTTCTTACCTGTGGAATGTTATTCCCTTCTGCTTGGTTTTAACACTTCTTTCGTTAGTACACCCAAATGCAGAGCAAAAATGTGGCATTTTTGCCGAGTCTGACATGGGTCTGAACCGGTCAGAGCACCTAGGCAAGATGGCAGCGGTATTGACGCAGCCCACAAGCCACGGTGCGGCATCTATGTATATATATCTATGCCCTCTAGTGATGGTGAAATCGAAGCTTCATGAAGCATTGAACCACTTTGACACACCTGCTTCAAGAATGACACGCTGCTTCGAAGCATTTCATACAGTCAGATGAGTGACATCTGCTGGCTGTGTGTCAGAACTGCATCTAAGTGGAAGACCAGCCCTGCGTTCCAATACCCATACTACCATACTATTTAGTATGCCAGAAAAAGAATTAGTGTGTCCCAATACATAGTATGTCAGATGCAGTATGCCAAAAGTACCAGGATGTTCTACTACATCCGGTCATATTTCGCAGTATGCATGTCAGCATGCTTCTTTGGCCATTCTGACCCACAATCCTTTGCGCAGCGGAAGTTACGTCACACTGACTGAGCTGCGTGTACAACCAACGCCCACACTTCCTTTCATACATGGTTTATTTAATTTGAGATACTAAGACACTACATATTAGGACTGCAATGATCTGATTATATACTGTCACATATCATACAGTTTTGCAAGAACACAGTTACAACATTCAACTTTATTGTGATTATAGTATAATCAGTGTTAGGGTTCAACTATGACTACAATATAGAAGATTCTACCAGTATAGGCAGTGGGGTAAGTGTGGTATAAATAATGAATGCATATGACTAAATATGAATACACTATGGGCCAGGTATGAGCAGTATAGACTAGTAAATATAT